TCAACTTCCCCCCCCTGCCGGCCTGGTCGCCCCACGCAGTCTGCTATTCAGTTGTCTGATCATCCCTCACTAACCCCCCTGCCAGCCTGGTTGCCCCATGCAGCCTGCTGTTCAGTCGTTTGATCGTCCTTCACTAACCCCCCTGCTGGCCTTGTTGCTCAAGGCAGCCTGCTGGTCATTACTGTTACTGTGATGGTGTCCTGGACAATTTGCATATTCCTCTATTATTAGACACATAGGTACACACTAGAGGCCGGGAAATAGAAGACAGTGACAACTGCAATTTGGGTGGCTACGTGTTAGGAACTCAGTTCCTTCATACTTCTTCACTATGCCAACTGTCAGGTCTGAGACCCTCTGCCAGGGGTTGGACCTTCTTGAACACCAGTGATAGAGAAGCCATGAGAAGTTGTGGGTGTATAAGAGAATCTTTATTATAGGAGCCAGTGGCCAAGTAGCCATCTATATATATAAAAGCCTAATATGCCAAGTGTCCCCTCAGGAGTTCGACCAACCAGGAGTTTGATCGCTCGCTATGACATGTGCTGACCATCAGGGGGCGGTGCAGAATGAAGAGAGGCCCTGGCCAGCAGCCAGCAGCTGCTAGGGATCCTACCAGTGCACGAATTTCATGCACTGGGCCTCTAGTTACTAATAAGGAGCCACTATACAAAACAGTTCTTCAAAGCAAAGTCCCATACAGCAGGTAGCCACACACCAGCTAGGTAACAATGCATCTTTCCTACATAGTAGCAGGAGCCTCTGTACCCACAGCCATTATCTAGCAGCCTGCCTTATGTAGGAGCTAGTTATATAGAAGCCATCCTCAGAGCCACAGCCTCACCAAGCAGCCTCACGCTGGTCAGTGATGCATCTACCCTATTAGTGCAGCCCCATATTGGCTATTCAGTAACAACTTTATACAAACTCAGACAAAAGAGGCTTTATGCCAAATACTGACCTCAGTCTTTTGGGTTATAGAAGGGCACGCTTGCACAGTGCATAGATTGCTTCGTCCCTGCATCTGCGTATAGCATCTTAGCCTTGAACATTCTGATTAAGATTCCCATGCTCAGAGTGGCCTTGAGCATCCAGTGTACTCTGAATAGGGTCCCCACACTATGACATACCCAAAGCCAAACTAACTACCTGTCATCTAAAATCCTCCCATACAACTGTAAGATTACCCCATTATCCCAATTTTACAGATGAAAAAGCAAAGTTCAAGCAAATTGCTGGTTGTGGAGTTGTTGGGTTTTTAAAGTTTCTCTTTAACCACCTCAGGACATTGTGAGCAATGAGATAAATGACAAGGCAATGTAGCCTTTTAGATGCAGCAAAGTCAGCTTAAAATGGAACAGAATAGAGTACCTAAAAGTGAACTCTAATGCATTTGAGATTTGTGTTTTTTATTTAAAAACTAGAGGCTTGGTGCAAGAATTCGTGCACAGGTAGGGTCCCTAGACCTGGCTGGCGATCAAGGCCAATCTATGGGGTGACCAGTGGGGTGATTGGGGCCTCCGCTCGCACCCACTTTGGCTGGCCTGGCGCTGCCTGCTTGCCACCCCACCCCCACCACCACTGCCAGTCGGGGCCTGCAGGCTAAGGGCAGCTCCTGCATTGAACATCTGCCCCTGGTGGTCAGCGCATGTCATAGCGACCAGTCGATCCGCCAGTCATTCTGCTGTTCAGTCAATTTGCATATTAGGGTTTTATATAGATAGATAGAGTTTCAAAGCAGCGGTCAAACCCTGGCTTATTTGATAAATGATGGAACAAAATACTAGTTATTTGAACATGAAACTTAAGCTAGATAAACCCTAAATGAATGAAAGGTTGACTCAATCATAAAGAATGAAAGGCATCTGACTAGTAAACACCTGCCATACCCAAAGTCAAAAGACAAATGGCAGCTCTGGCCGGGTGGCTCAGGTAGTCGGATATGTATAAACCTGTGGACACAACTCGCTTCCCTTTGCTTGGACTCCCATTGGGCTCATGCTTGGCTGAGGCCAAACCCTAGCAGGGCACCCCCTTTGCCCATGGAACAGGTGGCAATGTGTGCTGGGGCCTGTTCTGCTATCACCCATGCTTCTCAGAGCCCAGGACCGAGCACCATGCCCTCTGCAGGGCAAGAGCCATTGTCATCAAGCCCTTGCCCTTGCCTGGAGACCTCAGGCTGGCTCTGTATTGGAGAAACACTGAAGTCATTCTAGACCAGCCGTGGGCAAACTACGGCCCGCAGGCCGGATCCGGCCTGTTTGAAATGAATAAAACTAAAAAAAAAAAAAAAGACCGTACCCTTTTATGTAATGATGTTTACTTTGAATTTATATTAGTTCACACAAACACTCCATCCATGCTTTTGTTCCGGCCCTCCGGTCCAGTTTAAGAACCCATTGTGGCCCTCGAGTCAAAAAGTTTGCCCACCCCTATTCTAGACTAAAGGACTTTGCCAGCCACCACGGCAGATGCTGCTGTGCACTCTGATGGTCAAGCAGAGGGCTGGCCGGTCCCCTCTTAGACTGCCAGGGCCCCATGCCATGTCGTCCTTGGGATTTTCCAAGTTCTCAAGCAGAGAAATCTGATGTATGTCTCCATGGCTCTCTGGACTACAAGCCCCCAGGCTGAGCGCTTGTATCTCCATGAGCCTCTGTGATAACATCCTGGGCCATCCATTCATGAGCGTTAAATAGACTCCAAAGGGGTCTGAGGCTGGAAGAAGGGCGCACTATCATCAAAGGGAGAGAGGAATGAGAAGCTGAAGAGATTTGACCATCACAGATCTCACGGTTGGGGAGTCTGCTTATGGCCTGGCTGAGTCGTAAGCATCATTACGGCTTCCAGCCCTCAGGGTTTTCTGTCCCGCTCCCAGTCTCTTCCCAAACTTTCTCTTCAGCCTCTGATGACAGTTGCACCCTCCATTCTAAAGATTTAACTGTAAAGAAGGTGAAAGCATGACCCTCACACTTAAACGAGTGCTTAGACATGAGATTGGCAACGGTGAAAGGTTACCAAGGCAAGATAATTATCTTCATTTTCACTCGAGTACCATTTGCCCCCTTTGCCTGCCATTAAGACAGGCAAACTAATTAGCTTTCCCAAGTGCTGTGGAGTCCTTTCCTCCTTTTTCTTCTGGGGAGAAAAGACCACCCCTTTATCTAGACTCCCCTTTGCGTGTTGGTATCAGCGCACTTGCACCTCGGGAGAGGGTGGAGCCCTGGTCGGCCAGGTCCAGACCAGCCTGCCCTTGGCATTTCAGCCAGGACCACGGAGGCAGTGGCCAAACCCAGCACGAAGGGGGCCAAAGGCATGTGGTGCAGCCCTTGTCACTTTATGTCCAGCGGTTCTCAACCTGTGGGTCGCGACCCCTTTGGGGGTTGAACGACCCTTTCACTGGGGTCACCTAAGACCATCTGAAAACACATATAGCATATCAGATATTTACATTACGATTCATAACAGTAGCAAGATTACAGTTATGAAGTAGCAACGAAAATAATTTTATGGTTGGGGGTCACCACAACATGAGGAACTGTATTAAAGGGTCGTGGCAATAGGAAGGTTGAGAACCACTGCTTTATGTCGCTTGTCTCTCATCCCTCACTGCACATTGAACCCTCGGAGGACTGAGCTGAGTTACAGACACCCCATCCTCTCAAGGGGATCCCAGTGCCCGCGCCTAGGAAGGGGCTGCCAAGGCCCCTCAGCTTCATCTCACTTCTGTTTCCTGCACGTGTTCCCGTTTCGTCTGTCTGCCCGCCCGCCGGAGACTCTGGGAGGGCAGGTGTGTGCTCACCTCCTCCTCCACAGCCCTCCCCGAATCCTGTGGCATTTGCGGGTTCTGTGGGTTCTGTAGAAAGCACTATTGCTGAATTTTTGCTCCTTATTGAAAATGTAGAAAACGCAGAAAGGAACCAACAGCAAAGAGCTATCCCCCACAATTATCGGGGCCTATTTCTTTGCAGGGTTTTCTCTGTGTCTGTAAATGCTGGTGGCCTGTTTCCCGTGCTCGATAGAATGTCATCAATGTCTCTCTCACTGTTTATTTCCTTTTGTATTGAGCACCTGCCATGTAGCGAGGACCATGTGAGGCCCCGTGGGCCCTGAGCTGGGCCTTGGATGCAAAGGGGTGTTCTGAGCAGAGAGTCAGGGGCACCGCCTTCACGGTTCATATGGAGGAGGATGAGCGTTAGGCTCCCAAGGGCCGCCGAGAAGGGCCCGTCACAGAAATCTGCGCCTGGATCCAATGTCTGATCATGACCCTGCCCGAGCGGCTGAGGGAGAGCCGGGCCGGGAGCACAGAGGCTTTCCAGCCTGTGAGAAGTACCGAGTGGCAGTTACAAAGCAGTCCCGGGAGTATAATCAGTAACATCGTGATAACTGCGGGTGGTGCCAGGTGGGCACTGGAAATGCCAGGGGGATCACTGTGTAAAGTCTTTTCTTGTCTGACCACTTTGCTGTACCCCTGAAACCAATACAAAATAATATTGAATGTCAACTGTCATTGAAAAGACATTTTAAAAGCATATCCGTTATTGAGCAGGGGATTATGAGGGCAGGCCCGGGCTGGGTGCTGAATGAGCGATGCCCTGTAACCTCGCAGCACCCTTGGAGGCAGGTCGCTGTAATCCCCCAGTTACACGTGATAAAAATGGGGCTTTCTCTCCCGCTCAGGAATTCTGTGGATTCTGAAGGGCTCCGAGCAGAACTTGCTCAAGGACACACAGCCAGTGAGCAGAGGAGCTGGGGCTCGAACCCACCACCCAGGCTCCATTAGGGCCGTACCAGGGGCAAACCAAGGAGGAACAGGGCAGGGCCAGGACACACGGGGGCACAAAGGCTCTGGGAAGCAAATACTGGGGGCAAGTACTCTCCACACCCCCTCCTACCCTACAGGTTACTTTTCTTCCAACTCTCCCCAAATCATAGACACGGAATCCCATAGCAACCGTCACTGGATTCATCAGCTCACTTGATACTTGCTGTGTAAACTCGAGATGTGCTCACATCCCCAGAAACGGTTGAAAGGCTCAGGGAGGTGAAGGGGGTGTAGAGCAAGCATGTCAAACTCAAAGGCTAACACAGGCTAAATAAACAAGGTTTCAACAGTTTATGTGAGCCAAAAAAAAAAAAAGCTTCCATTTTCATAGAAACATAGGTTTATTTCGATAGAGACATGCTGAATACAAAGGGCTGAAATAAATGAGTTATCGTTTATTAGTGTTCGTTGTTGGCTATGGGACAGGCACTGGGGTTGGCGGGGGCCGCCACGCGCTGGGGCTTTCAGACACAAGGGCACCTGGGTCCTTGGGGAGATTGAAAGCCCCTCGGGCAGGAAGGCAAGGGTTCAGACTGAGTCTCCGCCAGACACAGGCTCTGTGACCTTCAGCCAGTTCCTTAGCTTCCCTGCGTCTCCATTTCCTCGTCTGCGGAAAGGTCACCTCCCTCGGAGCTGGTGGGAAGATTAAACAAGGACATGTTTGCAAAGGACTCCGCGTGGCGCCCACACAGAGGTCGTCCCCTCCTCAAGATCGTTACCACCATGAACTCGCCTCCATGTGAATCACTTTATCACAAATTTATGGACTCATCTCTCTTTCCAATTCGCAGACTTGAAAACGTCCTAACTTTAGAAAAGACATAGAAAGAAGAGATAAGACGCAAGGGGTAATGTGGTCTAACTTTGTTTTTCTAGGAGGGTGTGAATCGCTTTATCACAAATTTATGGACTCATATCTCTGTTTCCAATTCGCAGACTTGAAAAGGTCCTAACTTTAGAAAAGATGTAGAAAGAAGAGATAAGACACAAGGGGTAATGTGGTCTAACTTTGTTTTTCTAGGAGGCGTGGAAAGTCACCCTGGAGAAGGCAAGACAGATCGTCAAGAAGTCCCCAACTCTGGTAAGTGGTCCGTGGGGAGAATGCCAGCCCCTCCCGGCACGCTGACCTCCCCCTGGCCCTGCTCTCACCCCGCAGGCCAGCGGCTGCTCTGGGTACCAGCCCACAAGGCACCCTGGTTGACTTGGGATTGAAGTGGGAATAGGCGCCTGCTCCCAACCTCAGCAACACTCACATTTGGGGCAGATTAGCCCTTGGTCCTGGGCGCTGTCCTGTGCACTGTAGGATGTTGGCTGCATCCCTGTCTTCCACCCACTAGTTGGCAGCATCGTTATCCACCCCTCCCCAGTCCTGATGACCAAAAATGTCTCCTGATGTCCCCAAGTGTCCTCTGAGCGCCCTTGAGACCTGCTGCTCTGCAGTAGACCATTTTGGAGGCTGTGTATCCTCCCACTCCTCCCCTTTCTACATATGAGACTTGGGACTGAGCCTCAGTGTTCCTGTCAGTAAGATGGGGCAGTAACATGTTCCTGGCAGTAAGATGGGGCAGTAACATGTTCCTGTCAGTAAGATGGGGCAGTAACATGTTCCTGTCTCACAGCATGGATGTGAGGACTAGCGGAGTGGATGTGTGCAGAGCACGTGGTAGCAGGCCTGGGACTTACCGAGCCCTCTGTCAATGCCAGTAAAATCATCACATGATCCTGCTCCCTAATTTGCCCTGTTTGTAATAATACTTTGATTCAACAGATAGAATGTTTAGTTCAAACTAGTTGTCCTTAGTCAAGTGTTTGATTTATGCTCTGGTTACAAATCAGCCCTAGCTGAAAAGGAAGTAAGAGAGTAGACCTTTAAAAATGTGTCTCGGGCCCTAGCCAGTTTGGCTCAGTGGATAGAGCATCTGCCTGTGGACTGAAGGGTCCCGGATTCAATTCCGGTCAAGAGTACATGCCTCGGTTACAGGTTCCCGGCCCTGGTTGGGGTGTGTGCAGGAGGCAACCAATTGATGTGTTTCTCTCACATCGATGTTTCTCTCTGTCCTTCCCTCTCCCTTCCACTCTCTCTAAAAATCAACGGAAAAATATCCTTGGGTGAAGATTAACCAAAAGAAAAGAAAAATGTGTCTCCCTTGATGCTAGAGCCCTGGCAGGAGGAAGCGGCATCGGGGAGATGATCGCAGGTCCTGCCCTGCTGGCCAGGTCACCGCTCGCCCCAGTGCACTACCAGGAGGCAGTATTGACTTGGCAACTTGAAAGTGAAGGGGAGGTTCCCAGAGCTCTCAGCTCGCCGGATCTGGCAGACACAAATAGAGGATGCCCGGTTCCATTTGAATTTCAGATAAATGATGAAGAGTTTTGTAGTGCAAGTATGTCCAGTGCACTATCTTCTCTGGCAACAGTACTCGTGGGGGGCATCTGGGTTTTGATGTCCAAGGTTGATACATGTCTCATGGCAATACGCAGGCATTTCTACAGGATCTATTAGTCAGTCACCATGTCCGCATTGCTGATCATTATTTAATTCAGTGAATCACAGAAGTCCAATTGGAGCTACTTTAGCTCATCTGCTTAAGTCACTGAACAAGAAATTGAAACACGGCTTGAAGCCCTTGACCAGCACTCTGCATTCTAAACAGAAGTGAAGATGAGACAATTCTCCCTTTATCCTTCTCAGCGCGCATCTGAAAACGTATTCTCAGGGCATGGTTTCCGCACTCGCACAAGCTGCCTTGGCATTAACTCAAGGGCTAATTAGGATTTCACAGTTTTCTATTTCCGTCATCAGAATTGCGAGCGTACTTCCTAGGGCCGGATTCCAATAATTCCTTGCATGAAGCCAGAAAACAGAAACCTACTGAACAATCCAACAATAATAGACTTCTCCAAAACCTCCTCCAACGTATTTACTCTCCAGATTAAAGCTCTCAGGGAAAAAAATAATCAGAAAATGCAAATAAGCGTTTTGGAAAAAATGCTCAGAGGGTATCGGCGGCAGTGAATTTCAGGGTGGCGCCGACAAAGTCATAGACCCAGCCAGGATGCTGCCTGCCATTTCAGCGAGCCCGTCAGACGCCAGAACCCAGGCTGGGGAGGTGCTGCGTCGTTGAAGGGAATGGAAGGTTCCAGAGAAGGTCCGCACCGCCAGGAGGCCCAGAGAGGCTCCTGGGGACACTGCACAGGGATGGGGCAGACACCGGGTGTGTGAGGTTTGGAGTACCCGAGTCGTGGAATCACTGAATCTAACTTTCACAAAAACTCCTGTGGAGTAGACAGCCTACCTTCGTGACCAACCCCACAAGGTCAGACAGGTGAAGTGCTTGGCTCACTCCACACAACTGGTGAGTGAGAAACCCATCATTTAAATAGATTTACTTACTTCCCACTTCCTGCCCTTTGTACAATGTCAATGGCTCTCAACCAACCCTCCTGGTACTAAATTTCAGGAAGATTCACATCACAGGCTCTGGAGATGTTAGGATCGTGCGGTGCACAGCCTGGGGCGGGGGAGGTGGGCTGTACATGATGCCCCTGATCCTACACCCACCCACTCAATGAAATCTTCTGGGAAGCCTTTAAAAATGGCTGCTGTTCAAACTCCACCCCAGACTGTGTGAATCCAAGTAAAACCATACACAAGAGTGGAACGGCCTTTCACCGAGCGGAAAGTCCACTGCAGGCTGGCTGGGGACAGAGAGGCTCCTCTTGCCCTTTGACCTTCTATTTGTCCCATTCACCAGGGGTTCCCTCCATCCAACTCCTGTTTTTTCTGTTTTCATAGAACATCCTGGTGTGGGGGAAACTCAGATGCAAGCAGAAGCTGGTGAAATGAATTGCGAAATGAAAGTGTGCCCAGGGACAGCCCCGATCTAAGACTGTCATTGTAGGTGGGATTGCATGCTGCCAGAGGAACATTCTAAACTCATAGCTGAGCTGAGAACACATCTGTCCAGCAAAGTTCAGATCGAAAGAGGGGCTGGCAGTAAACTCATAGCTGAGCTGAGAACACATTTGGCCTCTGTCCAGCAAAGTTCAGATCGAAAGAGGGGCTGGCAGACACACCCTCGGGGCCTTCCGCAGTGTTGCTCTGTGTACGTCTCAGTTCCTTTTGCAAGTAAATGAGAAGAGGCGAGTCGTTCCCACACTGTGTGATGAAAAGACGGCACAGTCAGAACTTCTGTCCGCCCTGGAGTTCTGGGGCCTCTGGACGAGCTCCGTCATCTGTCGCCCACATCCCAGCCCCAGCTTCTGCACCAGGCCTGTCAGAGACAGACAGCTGCGGCCTGCAGGCTCAACTCCGACAGTGGACAGCTGTGCAATTATAATTTTATTCTATCCTAGCTTTTGGGTGGCAATGTCCATATAAATTTGTTGGTGTATTGATTATCATCAGTGTTAAAATCTACATGGCCATTAGGTTAGACCCAGGCCTTCAGACTAAAGCAATAGCTTAGATATCAGTGTTAAAATCTACATGGCCATTGGGTTAGTTAGACCCAGGCCTTCAGACTAAAGCAATAGCTTAGATGTTCCAGTGCACCCTGACTTTGAACTTGAGTCTCAGAATGTGTCTAGATCGCCACACTGCCCGCAGGGAGGTGGCGTCATCTCATGCTGGTGCTCGTCTGCTTTACAGTGTGTCTCCAATCTTGGTCCCACTTGGGCCCAGGTGCTGGACCCAGCCTTCCAGTCCCCCCGCTTTTCCCCAACCCCCTCCTGCCGTACATCAGTGGTTCCCCGCCAGCCCAGTGTTGTCCTCCAGAGGGGACATTTGGCAATGTGTCTGGGGACTTTTTTGGGCTGCCAGCATTCAGTGGCTAGATGCCAGATACATCCTATGGTGCACAAGACAGCCCACAGCTAAGAGGTTTATAGCCCCAGTGGCAGTAATGCTGAGGTTAGAGACCCTGGGAGGGGCTTCAGGGTCTCCACCTGCCCACAGTGCTCTGTGCCCATCCCACCTCCTCCGGGCCACCCTCTCACCTCCAGGGATATCTTCCTGAAATACAGATGTGACCCCCGCTTACCGCCTTCCTGGAGTCCCTGCCTTCCCCGGGATAACGTGTAGAAGCAGCCTAGGCTTGTAGTAAAGGCTCCTTCCCTCCACGGTCTCATGGTCTCGTGCTTCCCCAGGCTCCGCCAGGCTGAGATGTGTGGCGGCCCTCCGATACCTCAGGCTCCCACCGCACTGCGTGGGGCATGGGGCGCTCCCTGCACCCACAGCCATGCTGCTCGGACACCCCGGGACCTTTTTAAAAGGCCGCTTGTGATGCAGCCGGTCTGCAGTGGGGCCTGAGACCCTGCGTTTGTGAAGGCTCCTGGCGGCCTGTGTTCCTCGTTTGCAATCACTCTGTCAGCAGTGAGGACCTGGCGCAGTGGTTCTCAAACCTTAGTGGGCATCGTGTGACTGGAGCCCAGGAAAACCCAGATGACTGCGCCCGCCCCAGGCTCTCTGACTCAGTAGGCAGGGTGGGGCTCACGAATTGCATGTGTAGCAAGTCTGCAGGTTGCACTTGGAGTCGCGAAGCCCAGAACGTATGTCTGTGCCTCCGCACCTGCCTCCCGGGGTCCTGAGAGCCGTGTTACTGCCTGGACCACGGCAGACCTGGCAGCGTGCTAAGAGCTGGGATGGCCCCCAGCGCTCCACTGGGCAGTGAGCTCCGTGAGGACAAGGACAGACTTCTGTCTGCACGTTTTACAGGGAACTGGAGGCGCTGGTCAGAGCTGTGGTTCTAACCCTGGAACGTTGGGGAAACATGACCTTCCTAGAGACCTCGTGTATCGCCTGAGAGGCTGCCGGTTCTCCTTGGCCAGCCTCACCACCTCACCAGCTCTGTTGAGACGGCCCCCAGCCACCTGCAGGGCCCTGGGGCTGGCAGGACCCTCTGTACCTCTCCCTTCAGTGATAGATGGCGATTCCCAGCTTTTCCCACCGTTTCCTCCTCTCGCCTGCGGATGGCAGCGTGGAAGCCACGCTCTTTCTAAAACCGAAAAGGCCTGGGCTTCCCTGCATCACAGAGCGTGGAGCCTGGTGGAGCCCGCATGCCCTTTGCTCGCCTCACCTGGAGACTCCGTGGGCACTGCCTTCCTCCTTCCTCCCAAGCTCGGGCATGTCTCTCCCACTAGTCTTGATTTTGCCTCCTAAGAGGATGGAAGCATTTTATTTGAAAATGTTCTGCATTTTTGAATCCTTTTTCAAAGCACTGGAGTACATGGAGGAACACGAGTTCTGTTTTTCTGAGTAGATCGGCCCCAGGTGGGCCAGACCCTGGGGGAAGGATGGGGGAAGGTGGAGGTGGACAGGTGGGGGTGGACAGGTGGAAGTAGACAGGTGAGGGTGGACAGGTGAGGCTGGACAGGTGAGGGAGGACAGGTAGAGGTGGACAAATGAAGGTGGACAGGTGGAGGTGGACAGGTGGAGGATGACAGGTGAGGGTGGACAGGTGGAGGTGGACAGGTGGAGGTTGACAGGTGGAGGGGGACAGGTAGAGGTGGACAGGTGAGGGTGGACAGGTGGAGATGGACAGGTGGAGGTGGATAGGTGGAGATGGACAAACAAAGGTGGACAGGTGGAGGTGGACAGGTGGAGGAGGACAGGTGGAGGTGGACAGGTGAGTGTGGACAGGTGGAGATGGACAAACAAAGGTGGACAGGTGGAGGTGGGAACTCTCTTGGGCTGGACAGAAAGGAGCAGCCTTGAGGTTGAGGAAGGAGCCTGAACACAGGCTCCAACGTGGAATGAATGTGGAGCGTGGGGACAGGAACAAGTGGTAAGTTTAGTTCAGTCAAATGCCCTGAGCTCTGGAGAAGAGAGAATTCAGGAATCCCGACCATGGAGCCAATGGAGAAGGGCCTCTAGGAGTTGGGGAACCATTCCTTGAATTAAACAGTGTTTTTCCTTATTATTTTTCTCTCCAGAAACACCCGAGAGGTGGTGCTGATATCTGCGTCCTCCCGTTTCTGGCGAAGATCTGTCAGAAGATTAAGCGGTGTGTACGCTGCGCTGCCCTCCGCCACTGCACGGGGGGCATCTGTCCCTCTTTCCCGTGGGCTGAAAGGGCCTCAGATGTCAAAGCATCTTCCTGAAAGGGAACGTGTTTCTTTCTCATCACTCGTCCAGAACCTAGAAGACAGAGCCTGAGCTTTGAGCAACGCAGGCTCAAAGGCTGGGGCGCAGGCTGCTGGTGAAGTCGTGTCTCCCAGCCGCCAAGGACCCTACCCCCAGGGGGTATTGGACCCCGCGTGATCTTTGGGGACACCCACGTTCTTGGCTCTTGGGCAATGCCGTCTCCTGAGCTGGCTTTGGAAATAAGCACTTAATGTGTCTGGGCCTCAGTTTCCCTAAACCTTAACGTCAGGTATATGCTAAGTTATGGCTGCTCCTCAGAGTTGATTGGGGATGATTAAATGCAGGCTCCTTGGCCTGAGACCGGGCAGGAGAGCAGTGTGTTTCCCAGGCTCTGGGGGCCTCTGTCCTCCCCAAAGCTCACCTTCTATGCAGGTGCCGGATGGTAGATGCTACATGATCAGGTGATGCTTCCAGGACCCCAAACACTGCCCTTTACCTGTGAGGCGCACATGGGGCCACACCGTCCCACCAGCCCCTGCTGCTCTCATCCTGGCTCCTGCCAGTCCTGTACTCGAGCCCATTTTAGGCTGGCCTAGTTCTCATTGCGAGGGCCTTCAGGTGAGAGCGCAGAGGTGAGAGGCAGGCTGCAGGACTGTATTATAGAGTCGCTATAACATCCACACACTGGGTGGCTTAGAACAACAGAAATGTACTCACCCCGTACTGGAGGCTGCAGGTCTGAAAGCAGGGTGTTTGCAGGGTCCCTCTGAGACTCTGCTCGCTCTGAGCTGCCCCTGAGACTCCAGGTCGGATCCTTGCTTGCCTCTCAGCTTCTGGAGCTGGCCGGTGATCCTCGGTGTCCTGGATCCCTTCAGTCTCTGCCCCTATCTTCATAGGCCCTCTTCCCTGTGCGTCTATGCAGAAACCCACACATGCATCACCTCACGTAGATGCATACAGACTGTCGTATCTTACGCCTCAAGGTTCTCAGCATAAGTTGTTCAAGAGGAAAGTTTTAAGAAAAGACTTCCATCACCGAATGCCGTGTAAAATGGCACAAATTCAACCTGTAAGTGCCGATGGCACCGACTGGACCGAAAACACAATCTCCTTTCCAGGGGACTCAGCATCCATGCCCACACCCTCTGAGGCTTCAGTTCAGTGACTGCACTTCCCACGGGGGGCAAGTGAAGCATCAGAGAGGAAACAGCTCTTCTGGTGTGGAGAGACTGGCTGAGTTGGCCTGGTGCTCTTACTATTACCTTACCTAATAATAGACAAACATGTAAATTGACCATCCCTCTGCTACGCTCACCAGCCAATCTGGAGAGTATGCAAATTAACCCAACAAAGATGGCGGTTAATTTGCATATGTAGGCACGAAGTGGAGGAGCGAAGACTGAAGGCTCCGGCTGGAGCAGCAGAGACTGAAGGCTCCGGCCGGAGCGAAGGCCTGGGTCCCAGGTGCCGGAGGAAAACCGGTGCCGGCAGCCAGGGGAAGGGAAGGCCTATTGCATGAATCTGTTCATGCAACGGGCCTCTAGTATTATTAGAATGGGCTTCTGTCACATAAACCCAGCTCAGCCACGTCTGAAAATGTCTCTCTGCTTTCACAAACAGTTTCTTCTCTCTTAGTTCACCGGTGTTGTGTTTTCTTTCTTCCAGAACTATCACGAATTCGGTGCCATTCAGAGATGTCGATTCAGACAATTACAGCGTTTCCCCAGTAAGTATGGTGCAGGGTAACCAGAGGGAGGTTCCCTGGCTTCCACATCACTTCCTACAAACGTCTTTAATAAGACAAGATGGGCTTCCCCTTGAGCGTATTGTTAATTTGATAACACACCATTTCACAGTTTTTACGGACTTTCTGGCATCTGAAAAATGCACGAATCATCGAAGGGGGTCGTAGGCCTGGGTTTTGTTTCCTGGAGCCATTCCCAGCTGGAAGTCTCCGCGGGGATGGAAATGATCTTGAAGGTTGTTGGGAATTATTTTGGAAATTCTTAAGCCTACTTCAACTTACTTTTCTAAGTGTGTGCGAGTGTGTGCATGAGACTGTGCGAGTGTGCATGTTTGACTTAGAGCAGTGAGGGTGGCAGGGTGCTCTATGAGAAAGAAACAAGCAGGTAACTTGCCATAAAGTCCCCACTTTAGTGAGACTCAGCTCTCCCACCTGGGAATGGGGAAATCAAATCAGTGTTCTACATTATCATGGCTCTTCAAGTCAGGCGAGTCCAACACATAACAAATCCATGCAATCAACTAGATTAGCTAGAGATTTTTTAATTATCCAGAGAAATGATTGATCATTTGACCAAATAGGCCAATTGATTGGAGCCTGATAAGACTGCTGATTAATAGAAAAAGTTCAGGGAGTTGGATAGTTCTGCAGTTGGCAAAAGTGCACATAGACACACACAGAAACACACACATACATACGTGTGCATGCACACACATGTGTACATATAACTGCATATGCCACATGCATATGCGTTCACACACATGCACCCCCATACAACCTCACATAGGCACACACCCAATAGCATGTATACACACGCATCCACCCACACATTCACATCCACCACCCCACCTGTTATTGGCCCTGGGACCAGGTTACATTGCACCTCACACAATCTTCGTGATCGATAGTGTTCCTAGCCTATTGGAGTTAAAAACTGCAGATGGCATTCCCCCCCCCCTCCCCGACCCCTCTCCCGGCTCTTCCGACTGCCCCTCCTCGTTTCACATCAACACAGAACTGACCCTTCCCACGTTGCCCTCGGATTGCAGACGCTGCGCGGCTACCACTGGCGAGGGAGAGACTGCAATGACAGCGACGAGATGGCCTACCCCGGCAGAAGGTAACTGTCTCCGCTGGTCTCTGATTCTGAAAATTACCTTCCGAAAGGGAGGCAGGAAGCGTCGTTCATTTCCCCAGGCCCGGGGGTTCATACCCACAGAGGGAAGGGCCCCCCATCTCCTGATGGAAATGAAGTTCAGGGAAATGAGAGCATCATCTGTGCAAGAAAGACTCAGGAAGCACCTGCTAATGGCCAAGCACTCTGTGCCCACTGGGTGGTAAACAAGATAGAAATGTTCTTTTTCCCGTCGGAGCTCACGGCCCAGTAGGAGAAACAGCCGCATGAGCCGTGCCTGTGGACGTCACCCAGCCTCCTGCACGCGTCCTACACGCAGGGCTGGGCCCAGACAGCCCCTCTCCCGCCAGGACTGAGGGGAGGGTCCAGGGCGTGACCAGCATGTCCCATGTTAGTCCTGGGCTGGTGTTCAGCCCATCACATCTCTCACTTCCAGAAATGGATGTGTCGCCTTAGCTGTGACTGCGGTGCCAAAGCATCAAGTTAGCCAGGTGTCAGGGATTGGAGAGGCATCACTTGAACGGCCTCTCCTGTCTAAATCCAGTGGCCTGCAGGCTTGTTTAGGATGCCCATCAGCCCTGTTCCACAGCCACGCAGTCCAGGAACTGGGTTGACCACAAAAAGCCTGGACTCGGTCCACCGCTCCCAGCAAACATCCCAAACCAAGATAACGGCCGAGCAGAGGCTGTCTCCCGTGAGCGGCCTGCTGTCTGTCCCTGACACTGTGGGTGGCACTCACGTGTGCATCCATTCATGACGCTCAGCCACTGAGTGACAAGTGAATGCCCCAGACCAATGCTCACGTTCTCCTCGCAGGCCAGACCGCTGGGATGAACATCGGGATTCCAACTGCAACGGCATCTGGGTGAGCAACTAGAGGCGAACTCCACCTGCCTCCCGACCCCCCTTCCTTCCTTGCGTTCGTCATGCCTGAGGAAGAGGATGGGCCGGAGCCAGGCATTCTGCTGCGTGAAGAGGGGCGTAGGGCTCCAGTCACACACGAGGGGGTCCACACTGTAACGGGAGGTGGGGCTCTCTCAGCACAGCCCCTTTTTTAAAAAATATATTTTTTTATTGATTTCAGAGGTCTGGGTGAGCAACTAGAGGTGAACTCCACCTGCTTCCCCACCCCCCTTCCTTCCTTGCATTTGTCACGCCTGAGGAAGAGGACGGGCCGGAGCCAGGCGTTCTGCTGCGTGAAGAGAGGTGTAGGGCTCCGGTCACACACGAGGGGGTCATGGGAGGTGGGGCTCTCTCATCACAGCCCCTTTTTAAAAAAATATATTTTTTTATTGATTTCAGAGAGGAAGGGAGAGGGAGAGAGAGAGAGAAACATCAATGATGAGAATCATTGATCGGCTGCCTCCTGCATGCCCCCTACTGGGGATCGAGCCCACAACCTGGGCATATGCCCTTGACCAGGAATTGAACCGTGACCTCCTGGTTCATAGGTCGATGCTCAACCACTGAATCTAGCTGGCCGGTCATCATTGCAGCCCCTATAAGCCTTGTTGAAGGTCACCCACACCTGACCTCTGAGTTCTCCCCTGAACAGTGTGAAATTAGCTGGAGAGCGGTGTTAGCAAAGTTTTGCAGCAACCTGAACATCTCCTAGGGCAAACCAGGCTGTCCCCTTGTCATGGCAGCCATTTCCTTCTGTTTCCTAAGGCTAGTCAGGAGGCGGGGTCAACTACCTGCCAGGCACCTGCCTTGTCACAAGGAGGAAGAGACATCCCCCCTAGATCTTAAGGTGTCAAGACCCCCAAGGCCGCTCTTGTTCTGATAAACTCAAGCTACATTGTCAAGTGGGGGGACAGAGGGGTGATCAGTGTGTGAGGCCGTCCTTGTTCCACGGCCCCTTCCCTGCCTCTGGGGTGTGCCACCCGTGAGGAAGGCCAGTAAGACACTGTGCTCTGCCCTGTCCTGGTCGCTGGTGGGGCCTCGGTGCTCCAGCGCCCTGCTGGCAGCCTCTGGGACAAGGTAGTCCAGGGTCTGGACCTCTCCTCACCACCCCCCACCCACCCCCAGTTCCTTAAAGCCCAGCTCCCTCACATGGAATGTGACCGTGTCCGATTAAGGACTCGAGAGACTTAAAGGGTTTTATCTACTGATTTGCCTTTTCAACTTTTTTTTAAAATTTAAATTCTTTATTGTCTTTTCTACTTTTAAAGCCATTTGGGGAGGATTTGGTGTATGTGTCTCATAAATTTAAAGACAAACTACTTAATCTTGTCGTTTCTCTTTTAAAGGGTGTTGATCCAAAAGACGGAATCCCCTATGAGAAGAAGTTCTGTGAAGGTATGAATGTAAAAGTCTGTTTGTTCATCCGAACAGAATGTTCATCCCAACAGAATGTTCTTTTTCCCGTCGGAGGCAAATGGAAGGGAACAGACCACCCCAGTGAGGAAGTGCCTGGCGCTAGGCCTTACACTTGGCCAGTTTACATTTATTTTCATGACGAATCCAAAAGGGACATGAGAAGGATTCTAGTAAAAGGAGGCAGAATCTAGAGAAAGCAAAACTGAATTTGTGTAATCGGCTCCTTTCCCTGAGGATTGGAAACCTGAACGATAACGTTAGGAAAAGCCGCAGCGTAGAGAACAGGGTAACTGAACCCAGCACTTCCCCAGATGAGAAACTCAGTGCAGGTGGCCCTTTCTCATCTTCTCCGTGTCCTCAACACACAAGCTCAGGGACCTGGGCTTGTACTGACAGCGTCCCTGTCAACTGGGGTGAAGGCTCACACCTGGTGACTCAAGGGAACCCTCCAGGCTGCAGCCATTGGCATTCCCCAAAGTAGCTGAGCTCTGTATTCTAAATCCTAAATGCCTCAGACATCTGGGCTACCAGTACTTAGGAGGAACTATCACCACCCACAACTTACTGAACACACTCCCGGTGCGTGACCGTGTCCGATTAAGGACTCCAGAGACCTAAAGGGTTTTATCTACTGATTTTCCTTTTCAACTTTTTTTAAAATTTAAATTCTTTATTGTCTTTTCTACTTTTAAAGCCATTTGGGGAGGATTTGGTGTATGTGTCTCATAAATTTAAAGACAAACTACTTAATCTTGTCGTTTCTCTTTTAAAGGGTGTTGATCCAAAAGACGGAATCCCCTATGAGAAGAAGTTCTGTGAAGGTATGAATGTAAAAGTCTGTTTGTACATCCCAACAGAATGTTCATCCCAACAGAATGTTCTTTTTCCCGTCGGAGGCAAATGGAAGGGAACAGACCACCCCAGTGAGGAAGTGCCTGGCGCTAGGCCTTACACTTGGCCAGTTTACATTTATTTTCATGACGAATCCAAAAGGGACATGAGAAGGATTCTAGTAAAAGGAGGCAGAATCTAGAGAAAGCAAAACTGAATTTGTGTAATCGGCTCCTTTCCCTGAGGATTGGAAACCTGAACGATAACGTTAGGAAAAGCCGCAGCGTAGAGAACAGGGTAACTGAACCCAGCACTTCCCCAGATGAGAAACTCAGTGCAGGTGGCCCTTTCTCATCTTCTCCGTGTCCTCAACACACAAGCTCAGGGACCTGGGCTTGTACTGATGGAGTCCCTGCCAACTGGGGTGAAGGCTCACACCTGGTGACTCAAGGGAACCCTCCAGGCTGCAGCCATTGGCGTTCCCCAAAGTAGCTGAGCTCTGTATTCTAAATCCTAAATGCCTCGGACATCTGGGCTACCAGTACCGTTAGGAGGAACCTATCACCACCCACAACTTACTGAACACACTCCCGGTGATGCCCAACGAGACCCTGTGGTAGCATCGCTGTTTTATGCCTAGGCAATGGCTTTCCCCAACATTTAGAAGCATTTCATTCATTCATTCATTCATTCAACAGATATTCCTTGAATGTCTATTCTTTTAAGTGCCAAGAGCTATACTTGGCTCTGAGTTTTCATGGGCAGACATAATACAGTCCTTCCCTCAGTCAACTTAAATATAATTAATTATAGTTCCGTTCTCAGAGGGGCAGGAAGGGGGCAGAACAGGCAAAGACCCGATGCCTCGTTACACAGTTTAAAAATGCTGTGGGGTGAATAAAAGTATGAATGAAAAAATACACTCATGAATAAATAGGCTCAGATCTAGTGAAATCCTGGCGTAGGGCTTTAGGTCACTATGGGAAGCCTCTTTCATTCCAAAGGTCCCAACCCCTCCCAGGTGTCCTGGGCCTTCCCCGTCACCATTTGTGTGGCCAAGTACTAGCTGTCGCAGTCCCAAGACAGGAAGCCACTGGAGTGAAGCTGATTTAGGGGCGAGGGTGGGAGTGGGGGAAGGCGGCTCTCCTCTCTGACTGGGAGGCATCAATCACTTCTCCCAGGATCTGAAGGGGTTTGGGAGTGTATGTGCATCGCCCATGGGTGGATGATTTGTGTAGATGGGCCCAGGACCAGATTCAGTGATTCTTTACCTCCACACCCTCAGGCTGCCCAGAGACCTTCGTATGGCTGTCGCTCCATCAATCCGATAGAATCACCCACCCTGTGCTTTTGCGTATATGGATTAAGAGCTTTCAGGGTCCATCACATCTTCGATAAATCAAAATTACTCCATGAGATCAGTAATTCTTAAAGTGAATTATGTCAGAAATTGGTGCGTTTTCCACAAAGCAATTTCCAGAACCAAAATTGAGGGCATATTGCTGAGTCCAGATAAAGTTTTGATCCATTTATTCATCCGCCCTCACTCAGGGTGTCTCACGGCAGTTTGTTTCATGCTGAGCGGGGAAACACGCCTTCCTCCAGACCGCTCAGCTCGCGGTTTCGATGCCTGGAATCTCACTGAGCTCCTGAAGGCTATGTCCCTCACCCTGCGGCACACAAACAGCGGCCCTGCATCACTGCTACGGTGCTCTGTGCGTGGGGTACACGCCAGGGCATCTGATGCCCTGACTACACCGTCCGGAGGCTTGCAACCACGAGAGCATAAATAACACAAATACCTTGTGCCGCCTAGGGTCAGAGCCCAGGGGAATCGTTCTGCTGGGAGACTCGGCCGGGGCTCATTTCCACATCCCTCCGGAATGGATCACGGCTTCGCAGATGTCCTTGGTGAGTAATGTCGGCAGCCATCTCCCGGCTGTGCTGGCCTCGTGCCTGTTTCCCTGCTCTCTCTAAATGTGATGCCAACTCCAAACAGGTGCACGTTTTCCTGCTCAGCAAAATCTGCCATAAAAGGCGCACCCGCTCCAGTTCAGTTCATTTCCAACGATGCGAGAGGCGATGTGAGGGCGTTGTCACAATAGACTCAAAACAAGAGCCAGCACATCTTATTGGAAAACAAATTAAAGTGACAGTGTAGTATCACTTGTAGCATCCCTTATCATCTATCAAGTAGACAAAGGTTAAGTGATGAAGGCCCAGTATTAGCAAGCTTATGGTACCATGAGCGTGTTGGAACATCTCTGTAAGGCAAGCATGTCAAACTCACAGCCTGCGGGCCGCATGCCTCGTTTATTTGGCCCGTGTTCGCCTTTGGGTTTGACATGCTTGCTGTAAGGCAATTGGACAATATGTACAAAGTGACAGTAAAATGTTTGTGGGTTTAACCAGTAATTCCACATCTGGAAATTTACCTTTAAACCTGACTAGTCACTTGCTCAAGAATCTATGTCCACGAATAGTCATCCAAGAGATATTTATAATAGTAAAAATGAGAAAAGAAATTAAAAATAGGGGATTAGATGCCTGGTCAATTTGTCTCAGTGGTTAGAGCATTAGCCGGTGGATGAAAGGGTCATGGGTTCAATTCCTGGTCAAGGGCACATACTTCAGTTTTAGGTTCTATCCTCAGTGTTTCTCTCTCTCTCTCCCTCCCTTTCACTCTCTCTAAAAAAAAAAAATCAATGGAAAAAATATCCTTGGGTGAGGATTAAAAAAATAAAAATAGGGGATTGGATATGTAAAATTATATTTCATCCATAAAATGAAATATGCAATCATTAGTACCACTGTTATAGACACATTTATTGGCAAGTAACTGTGTTTATGATCATTTGTTAGGGGCAAAAGCATGTTACAAAGTGGTATATATGATGTCTTGTGAATATATAATATGTGTGTGTATGTACGAAGAAAAGCATTGGAAGGCTGTGGATCAGTGGGTAACCCTGGTACCTCTGGACGGGAGAATTCTGGGTAACTTTTCTTCTACTCTGTTTTCAAGGAACTTATTAGGTGATTACTTGGTTTTGTTTTCAGCAAATAGCTAAAAAAAACTGCTAAGGAAACCAAGGCACTGCTTTATTGAATCTCTGCAGAAGGTCTGTCATGTAGATGTTATTACAGCACGGCCTGGCTTTATAGACACCCAGGGAGCAGGTGGCAGAATCGTTTCCTGTCGGTGTCACCTTAAACAAGCCACCTAACCAGAAACGCTGGAGATGAGGATAGGAACAATCTCAAGCAAGGCCATTTGCTTCAGTGAGCTAATGGCTATGAAAATGCTGTAGAGCCATGGGTTGGATTCAAACCAGACACAAGTAAATTCACACACAACTCGCGCAGGGCCATCAACCCATCAGCCAAAGCAAGTCACAGGGCCATGGCCCAGATCCACAGGGAAGGAAGTATGTCTGCCCCAAGTGAGAGAAGAGAGAGAGCGCATATTTGCTGCATTGCTTTTATCTCCTTGTAAATGCTAAATATTCAATAGAGAAAAATAAGCAGATACAGAAATTATTAACAAATCGTTAAAATTCCACTTAATATTACCACCCAGAGAGAATTGTTTTAACATCTTGGGGTATAAGATTGGTTTTGAAATATTCTTTTAATATTTTTCTTAGAAAAAAATGAATACATAAAGTCAACACTAGAACTTATTTTGAGAAGTAAAAAAAGAAAAAAATTCCCCCATCATCTCAAACTTTTCTCAGTATTTTTCCATTCTTTCCTAGCATTGCACCCCCATTGTGATTCCACCCACAAGGCAGTCACATGAACAGCAAGTGTGCAACTGGTGACCCTCCCTTTTTACAGTTAGTACTAATCATAATCATTTTCCACATTGTCTAGTCTTTTTCTTTAATATATTTTATTGATTTCAGAGAAGGGAGAGGGAGAGATAGAAAGATCAATGATGAGAATCCTTGATCAGCTGCCTCCTACATGCCCCCTACTGGGAACCAAGCCCGCAACTGGAATCGAACCATGACCTCCTGGTTCATGGGTCGATGCTCAACCACTGAGCCACGCCAGCTGGGCACAACTTAGTCTTTAGGTTATTATCTTCTTCCCTGTTCCATGGAATCTCCTTCAGTGTACAAGCCATAAACTACTAAACCATTCCCCTGAGACTAAATGTGAAGCTGATTTATGGCTTCTTTATTTTGGCTACTATGGCTCATTCTCCCTTTTTTAAAAGCTTCCAATTTTTTAAAATGTGTTACCTATGGAACCTCTTCATGTGCACAGGAGGTCAGCCTAGGGAGGGGGGCATGCCTCGCAGACAGCCATGAGGTACGTTAAGCTCAGAGCACACCTCATGTTTTGGTTGTTTGGCTTTTAAAGCTTGTTGCAAGGGCAAACAACCTATCGCCAAATACTAGCCCGGGGCCTACTGTGCACCAAGGCCTACTGTGCGCCGAGCCCTGTGACAGGGGCTGATGACACAGTGGAGACGGAGTGGAAAGAACCCAGTCCTCGGAGAGCCTCAGGCGTGTGGGACACACAAAGAACAAATAGGCAACTCCTTCGTGAGACCACGCGACACGCGCTTGCCTCTGTCTCCCTGTAAAGCAGAAGACACCCCTGCAAACGCATCACCCATCCCAACTGCACCCCCGCAAAGAAGCCACAGCCGGGGATCTTCCCTAGAGCAGCCCCTTCTCTCTGGCTCATGCCATCCATCGGTTAAGCAGTGTGGCGCCCAGGAGGCCTGTTTACTGCTAATTAGATTAGGAGTGAGCTCATTTGGAAAGATACTTGTAGTTCAATAAAGAGAGTGTGAAGAATCGCCTGATGGCTCCACAGAAGCAGGGCCCTGAGCCTCGCCCCACTGGGGGCCTAGGTGATCCTGCCCTCCCCTTAAACAGCTTCCTTCCCTCCCAGATGCCCCCAGGAGTCAGGTACGAAATGAGCTTCCTTGTCACAGCGAAGGCCTCAACTTTGAAAGATTTCAAAGGAACACAAGGAACAGATCTGAAAACACTTGCAGGCTGTCTTTCTTTTCTCCTTTCATTGGGAAAGCAGTCCCTGCTGGAGTTGTTTTGTTGCCAAAGAAAGGAAGGTGGCGAGATCACCAAGGCCCACAATAGCTGCCGCCCTCCTGCCTCGACCCCATCTGCTCAAAGATCATTTCCAAAACATAAAAACGCCCGCCCTGTTTCGCCGAACCGGATGGGATGGTGGGTGGGGGCGGGTGAGCAGAGGGGGAGGCGACTCTGAAACACAATTTCCCGAATGTTTCTCTCGCCAGCGGAGACTGATGCCTGCGCTTTATAAAATCCTAGCACGACCCTGGCCGGCTGCTGTCTGTAGGGGAAGCGCACGGATTGAGTTTCGTGCTGCGCCAAGGGCGAAAGGAACCTTCAATCCGGCTGCAGAAAATGCATATTCACCGAGAGCAAGGCGGCTCCTGGCTGTCAAGCCCTCTGCGCATCATTCCTCTCGAGCTGACTTGTGGGTCTTTGTGTGTCCCACACGCCTGAGGCTCTCCGAGGACTGGGTTCTTTCCACTCCGTCTCCACTGTGTCATTAGCCCCTGTCACAGGGTTTGGCACACAGTAGGCCTTGGTGCACAGTAGGCCCCGGGTTAGTATTTGGCGATAGGTTGTTTGCCCTCATCAGCCCCCACAGGGTTCGGCATACAGTAGGCCTTGGTGCACAGTAGGCCCCGGGTTAGTATTTGGCGATAGGTTGTTTGCCCTTGCAACAAGCTTTAAAAGCCAAACAACCAAAACAAACAGGACCCACAACTCTACTGACTGTGGACAGCACAGCCATCAGCCTCAAACCCCCGGGCGACTGCCCCCTTCCCGAACTGTGAACACCCCAGTGAGCATAATGCTTCCATTAGGCAGAAATCGCTGCCTGATTTCCATGGTGCATATAAAATATGGAACTGCTACCTCACCTCTTTCCACGTCGACTCCAGAAGTATTTAAGGGGTAGAGTGCTGTCTTTGGTTGCTATGTTTTTTAAGATGAGGAAAGGCTGTTGGTTAGGACACGTGGGCACAATGCCACTTCCTGCTCCTCGAACACCTCGAGGGCTGGCAGGTGAAAGATGCTCAGTGGGAAGAAGAGAGGCCTCGATCCGAGCCCCATTCACTCTGTCAGGAAAGGAGAGCGTGTTCGCCACGCTGGTCCCTTTCTCCTCTGTTCCCAGTCCCTGCTCGGGAGCAGAAGCCAGACGGGCTGTCTGTCGCCTTGAGCCCCGATCAATTCAAGGCCCTGTTCCTGCCCAAGGTGAGCATCTGGGCTCCCACCTGCCAGCAGCGTGGGACGCTCTCGCGGGCTCATCCTGCCGAAAACATCCGTGCTCTCAGCTCTCACCGCACGTGCGAGAATTAAAGACAGACACTCGGTGTTAGGAAAGACTGCAAGAGGAAAGTACTTGGAGCTCCATGCTCTGAGAGGCGTTTATACGCGCTCAGCCCCCACGCCTGCTCTCCAGCACATTAGCTGGCGGTGCCCACACCGGGAGGCAGCGTGAGTCACCAAACACCTGCGCCGCCCGCTCGCCGCTGAGATGGGAGCACAGTCTCCTGCCCCCGATGAATTAGATCCACCGCTTGGCGTCCCCTCTCCCTCAAGCTCCTCGGCCATAAAATGGGCCTCGTGGAACGAACTGATCGCAGGAGAAACGCTTAGCATCTCAAACCCACTGGGATGTGGAAAGGGGACATTATGGCACTTGAAGATAATTTGGGATGGCTGGAATATCAGTTGCTACACACCATTCAGTCATTGGTTCATTCAACTGCCCACTTCCCTCCAGGCCACTTCCTGGGGGAGATGAAGGGGACTGAGAACACCCATCTCAGCCCTTGCCAAGTGCTTAGGGGTCCAGACTGGCTTCTGCACGATTTCCTACTCGAGGTGATGGCT